GGTTAAGATTTACCAAATGGTAAGTTAACCAAGCTTTCTGGAATACCCCCCTGTTCTTCATCTTGAATGGTATTATATCCAAAACTAAATAATAGGGAAATGGTTCAGAATTATGACAGTCAATACTTGTCATATGATAATCAAATGCTAATATATTTGTATATTATTTGTATAGATGGGATTTATAGTAAATATTTATGTATTTCCTTTTAATGAAAGGTCATGCAAGGTCTTCAACTCAACTAGACATGAGTTAGTACTTGGAATTAAACATTTTCTAAAAATTCCGATGGAGACTGGCTTTTTGAATCATACTTTAGGAATTTTATTCTTCATTATTATGATTATTATTATTATTATTATAGGTTTTTCGTGATGTTAGTGATTTTTTAAGCATTAGATTCCCATATAATAGTATAAATATATAAACAGACAAAAGCAACTGGTTTATGGGAAAGGAGCTGCAACCGTCTCATTGGTCTAAAGCTTAAAATGCTACATCAGTAAAATATTAGCCTGATAAATCTCATAATGAGCTGGAGCCTTGCAACAAGTATTCAGCGTATGCCTTTCTGATTATAAAAATGTTTCATGCATCAACTGATTTCGTGGTTTTAAGTTTATTCACTATGGCAGATTCTGTCACAAAACCCCATCCCTTCCATTCCTACGGCTTGCAAACTTCAGTAGCTGGATTTGTAGCAAGGTAGTTTAATAGATATACATAAACAATCAAAATGTAAAAACAAAAGATTTAGGAACCGAATCATTTTAAATGACTGTATATCATCTTGTAGTAATACTTGAATGACATTTATAAGGGTAATCTGCTATTATATTGGCTGACTCCTGTGTTGTGTGTCATACAATTGATTTCTTCTTTTTTCTGAGTTTCTTCACCAAGTGCGTTTTCAATTTTAGACACAGCAAATCTCCAGCATTTATGTTTGAAGTCTCTGCCCATAAATGCATATAATAAAGGGTTTAGGACGCTGTTTGCGTTAGCAAGAACAGGAAACACCTTTGTGCAGATTTGAAATATTTCTGACTGCTGATTATCTTCATTTGTTTCCATCAATAGGACAATATGATAGGGCAGCCAGCAAATGAAGAAAGCACCTATCAGAGCAGACATGACCTTGAATGGTTTGGAAGACTTGGTCATTCTGCTGCTTCTAAGTTTACAAATGATGACAGAATAGCAAGAGATAATGATTAGAAAAGGCAACAGAAACCCACACACAAACCGACTCAAGACAACAGCCAAGTGGTTAGAATGCAGTTCATAATTATTATAGCACTTAATACTTTCCCCATACTGGATGGTTTTCCGGAAAATTGCTGAAGGAGAACTTAGAGCAATAGAAATAATCCAGACCAGGATGATGACGAGGGATGCCTTCTTCACTGTGCGTTTGTTCTGTGCCCAAACCGGGAACACCACAGAGACACAGCGGTCAATACTGATGATGACCAGTAGGGAGATGCTGCTGAACATGTTGAGGAACATTACAAAGGAGGTGAACTTGCACATGGAGAGTCCAAAGATCCAGTTGTTAGTGGCCAGGTATGCAGTATTTACAGGGAGAAAGATACAGTACAGGAAGTCAGAAATAGCCAGAGAAAGGTACCAGGTTGTATTGACGGTCTTCTTCATCTTGAGGCCTGCGATCCAGATGACCAATCCATTGCCACTAAGCCCCAAGACACAAATTATGATATTGACCACTACCAAGATCACACAATCCCACTGGCAGGAGTTGCCACTGTCAGTGTCTTCATTATAATCATAACCACTATCATTAGGTATTAATGCCATTGCTTTTCTTCTTTCTGAAAATACTGTAAATAAAAACTCAGCATTATTAAGAATGCCATGTAAGTGTGACTAAAGAGTTTTAGTGCACTTAGCCTGGAAACCATCATCATAAAAAACAGACATTAACTTTTTTGTGCCTACCAGTGAATTACATGAGACCCAATATGCATTTGCAAATTGCAAGTTTTTTTATGCACCTGCATAACAACATGTACATGACTAATATATTTTCATCACACTAAATACATAATAAAAATACAGTGTCTAGAAGGACATGAAGTACTGTATAAAGGCAACAGCAAAATCCTCACTGAAGTGCTTACCAGTTTACTATGTGCTCACAGAAGCTCAGGGACGAATGGTACTCATCTGGAAACAATTTCATGAAAACTTGGCTGTATTGCAACAGAAATTAGGTGTCATATTTCCCGTTTTCTGCCAGTTTTAGAAATTTTAGTGATGATGCAGTGATAACTTCATACCAGTGTTTCTGGTCTCTGCCATGTGTGTGGAATTTACATGTTCATCCTGTGTCTTTGTGAGGTTTTCACTGAGTACTCTGGTTTCCCCCCACAGTCTAAATACATGCTAAGGTACATTGGCATTACCAAATTGTGAATGCAGTGTGTGCCCCGTCCTGGGTTAGTACCTATCTTGCTTCTGGGATAGGCTCTGCATCCCCAAGATTCTGCATAGGATAAGCTGGCTCTCTGATTCACAGTTTGCCTGCCATTCATCTCTGCAGGGTTATTTTTAATCTGCTGCACAAGATCAGATTTAAAAGAAAAGATATACTTTTTGATCCTAAGGGGAATTCTTTTGTTTACAGCACTGAAGTACTTAAGTGCACAGGTACAAGCATATGGTGTCAAACAGAGTGCAAAGACAGTTGAAAAAAACAGTATACATAAAAAAAAAACAAGACAAGGGAGCTGCTATAGCAGACAGACACTCAGGGCAGTGCTGACAGCAAGGGTAACAGGAGACAGATCATTGTCACGCTAAATTAACATTGTTAATTATTCTAATTTCTCTCATTAACCAAGTTTTGTTGGCAACAGAACAGCTCCTGATTTTTATTTTAATTTTGTATATTACGCCATTTTCTGTATAGTGTAGACTGTACTATGTGAAAATCCCAGTAGGGTGAATGTATCTGTTATGCTGAATCCACTGGCAGCAACAA